GTCGATGCTGCTGGCGATGCAAAGATAATCGACATAAACAGAAGAGGATGCCCGGCGGGATGGGAACCACCAGAATTGAAAGTGCTCATCGAAGCCCACCACCGCACTTCCCTGTATATTGGTGTCAAGTCTGACCTTTTCCAACTGGGGATGGTGTTATGGGCATTGGCTATGGTCGATGACGAGCCAGAAGCCCATGGGAGGCCATTGATGCTAGGACCAGAGATAAATATTCCAGATTGGTATCGTCAAATGACCGAAATATGCCTTGATCCCGACCCAAGAAGGAGGCTGGCGCCATCAGACCTCTTGAGCCTGTTCCCACCCGACATAGAGAGACGCCAGGGATCGACAGTTACTGCCGACGAGAGTCGCTCTTCAGATGGATACAGCGTCGATTACCCGCCTCACACGCAACCGTACATTAAAACAGTGTCACCGTCAAACGGCTGGCAATGTTCTGGAAAGACTTACGTCAATACAAGCCCAGATATGTACGAACCACAATATCCCATGCGCGGTCGTTCGCCCCCTAGTTCACCACCTAGCGCTTTCGATGGGTATGATTCGTCAGGGAAAGTCTGCAGCAGTACCTCTTGGGCAGCTAACAAAAGTGTCCGGCCCTCATACAGCGACATAGACGAGGACAGCACTACAGAGGCAGGAAAAGTTGTCGATGTAGGGTTACGACCTGAAACACCCCTCTCGCTGGGCCAGTACGACATCGACTCGGCTGCTTATCTCCCCACCGACATAAGACTGGAAGATATCAGCCCGAAACGGTCAACAATGCCGGTTATGGACACAAAGCCCTCTTTGGGCGATGGTTTGCAGACGATATCGACACCAAAACTGGACAGGCAAGACACTGCGATTCACGCCCCAACTAGGTACGACACAGCAGAAATGCAGCTATCCAAAGGCACACCCGAGATTGAGGACAGTCACTTGGCTGAGCCTCTTAGTGGGCACGTGTATGAGCCGACGGCTGATATGACTACCGCAACCGAGATGGTCGATATGCACACTGTTTCGGACGCACATGAGATCAAGACCATGGAAAGCGATGCAGACGGCGGTGTCTCGCTAGTGCTAGGGCATGCTCCCACTGCTCATAGGCTGCAGTCAAACAGCGACCTCCATTCTGAGGCCCAACAGGATGTCCAACAAAATAAGAGGCCTCCTGATGTCAATACATGCCGTTCAGTTGCCATGCAAATCGACCCCAGCATGAATAAGTCGACGATGAATACAGGGAGGGAAACGTCCACCGACAGTGCCGTGTCAAACAAACTACACACGCGTTCGGCATATAATCACCGTGAGGAAGCTCGATTAGGAGATTTTCGAATACGCTCATCGATACCCGACTCTGTGTCCGGATCCCATCTACATCAACGCCCGATATCAATCCCCGTTGTATTAACAGGCGTCGGCGCGGGCTTATCCATCGAGTACGACACGATTGGACTCGGAAATATGGTTACCGTTGACGATGATTTCAACGCGTTGGCACGACCTGCTACCGTGTAAGCATTAGTTGTCCCGACAGATAAATACCCATCAGAAGAACAGTTTAGCAAGAACAAAGAACAGCATTTTGACAACACCAGCATAAGACGTTTGGAATTTTGGATTCTTTCTAAACCCATGTATACTCTAGACAAATGAGCAGGCGACTGGTGCTATTTTACTTTGATATAGCACGATATTGAAGCGTATAGCGGATTGGAACGGATTTATGACATGACGACTAGCATTGATTTGTATCAGAAAGGAGGGTTTTCGCGGCGTATTTTAATGCTTTATTGGATTTTGAACGTTTGAAGCGATGGAGGCTTGATTGGATGTAGGCTTCCTCAAGTCAGCAGTGTGTAGCAATATCGTGGGTAATGGAGTACTTTAGCATTCCCAACAAGCCCCACTTCTATGATGATATGTGAGGATTTGTATGCGAAAATCTGGCTATCTGAAAGCAGGAAACATTACTCATTCTGTTGGTGCTCCTCCTTTGGTCTTGAGAAGTGAAACTCGGTACTGCTTTGACTGGTCACCGTGCTCATGACGGTGATGGTGAGTTGCGCATCTGTAGATAATCGATGATGATCAACAACGATGGATTACTGCTCCAAGTCAAATGCGCCGATAAAGTTTGTGGCTAAAAGTATAGGAAGTAGCGAAGGAACTGATGAGGATGGAAGCTGCTCCTGATATACGCGAATCTATGCGGATTATGCTACAGCACGAATCAAAGGCTCTGTTATGCCGTAAAACGGATATTATGGCCCGAAAAAAAAAACCACTTACCTGATTCCTGTTTCCACGATAAATGTTCCTGATGCCTCGAATTCAGAGCTTCGTCTACGCTTCTAGTCACTTCTTATCCAATATGCCCGTATTGACGCCCCCGGGCCGGAATCATGTACCCGATAGCACCAGTTGTTTCTCATACGTCGGATGTAAATAAAAAACAAAGTAGTTGCGATCGCAGTGTACACAGAGTGCACAAGTGTACTCCTAGTCTACGGCAGAATGAGGGACTCGCTCCACACAATGACAAATGAGTCGGCTTCTTGTTCGATATCAAATGTCCTTCCTGGAAGACCAGTACTAGTTGTAGCTGAGACCACGTACTCTTGCCCGCGTGATGTTGATTTGGAAATGGTCTCATTGGATGGTCGTCTGTTGCAGGGTGAACATTGCACATCAAGTGACTGGTTGATTCTGTTGGGGAAGAAGGATAAGGTTTCGAGCAGATGATCAGCCTTCCAAGAGTCGTCATCTGTCGCTCGCAACAAAAAAATTAAAATAAACGAATCCGATACTGGTAAGTTGAGGGAAATGGGCAGATGTGCTTGCGCTGAGCACATCAGATGCCTGGTCGAATCGTATGTTGTGGCTGAGGTATGTGGTGACGCAACCGGGATAGCGTTAAGCCGTCTGGTTGTAGGGAGATGCTGGACAGGTGCCGGGCTGGGCGGTTTATTTTCGACGCGGGCGCCAAGGGGGCGTGCGTCTGGTGGTTGGCTCGAAAAAGACGAGGCCAACGGGAATGGGCGGAGAAGTCAGAGGGCTAAACAAGTTGACATGTGGGCTTTGAAGATGGTGCAAAGTTGGATTGTTGAGGTGCTGATGGTGGTGGGGACTGCTGGTAACGTTAGGCCTGGCCACTCACATAGCAATGCGTGTCTTATCTTTTCTGAAGAGATAATCCGGAGAAGAGTGACGAATACAGGTTTATAGCTTCTACGGTTTTTTTTTCAGTCAAATAATTGCTACTGCACAAGAATTGCTCCTGCAAAAGGTAACGGCAATCAATAAATAGCCTGGAAGTTGCTGGCGGTTGAAACCTCGATGCAAGGTGGTGATGATACATGCAGGTACTACATTCAACACTTGTTGACAGGCTGCCGTCGGGCCGAGGGTTGGTTTACAGATGACTTCAGTGCCTTGCCACATTAATTATGAGTGGTACGATACAAGGCCTGCAGGCTTGTCATTGACTGATTGACTGGTTGATTCATTGATTCATTGATTGATAGATTGATTGCTCGAGCATCAATTGCTCATTAGCCATCCATCTCCCAGAGTGAACGAGGTACCTTGCGGCCCGCAGCTTCCCGGAGCGCCGGATGAGGTGGAGCCCCTGCTGCCCCTGTTCGCCCAACCCATTTGATGCCAGATTCGCATGCCCACACACCCCCGGCTTGTCGCAGGCTCGCCCGGCCGGGCGTCCACCAGTAGGAGCGCCGCCCTCGTCAGCTGTGGATCCAAGCTCCTGCCAAACACGGCCAGGAAAAAAAAGTTGTTGGGGAAAAGGGTTGGGTCGAACCATGTGTCGCGCATTTGCGCTCGGCGCCGCATCAACGACACTTGACCACACACACGGTTCAAGGCCATCAAGAAGCTTGCATGCGTAATGGCAACACGCCAAGGCGCCTCGGCAACTTGTGAGCAGCAGTCCAGAGTAGGAAGAAACGCCACTCGTGGCGAACAAGGTGTGCTTTCGCTGTCAAATGGTGCTAGACGTGTGTATCGCCATGTGAGCACTGCATGGCGGATTGTTGAAACACCATTGACGATACTGCCAAAGTTGTTAGCATTCAGGCTCCGAGAAATGGTGGACGAGCCACCATTGTGCTGTGCAACATGGTAATACAGAATAGGATTCTGCTCTCCTCTGTACCACTTGGTGTTTTGCCTTTGAATACAAGGTTTACCGCGTCGCATGATTGCGCAGAGAGGATGTAGCAAAGAGGGAGGGTAAATGGGCGAATAAGAAGCTTTGTAAAACGCACATTGGTTAACTCGACCGAACCTGGCCGAATTCTTTACTCCGTACCAAGTACTACTCCGTACCAGAGCACCAGTCCACGTTTTGTCGAGGCCAACAACGAGTATACTCCCAAAGGCCTCGCACAGCGCGCCAACAGACCGTGTATTTGTGATTGAATTCTATATAGCGGCCTGCTAATTAAGAGCCTGGCATTTGGCATTCTGAAACCCGAATACGCTCCGACTGGCGCGTCGTGGCCCGGGCTCTCTGCTTATTGTACTCCGTATGTACTTGGGATAATACATGACTGGCAACTTTCAACTTTTTTTTTTGACCCGCCTCCGCCCCAACCATCCCCAGCACTTTCGGTATCCGCCACGGTGCCCTCTTCGCTCGCACGCCCCTCGCTGTTTCTTCACGCCCCTCAAAACCCCCATCATATCTCTCTTTTCCCCTGCCCTTGAAGCCTTCGGGTTTCTTTTTTATTTGGAGTTGCCCTGCCCTCATCCTCCTTCAATCTTTCCTTTCTATATTTCCTTCACCCTCAGTCCTCCGCGATTTCAACATCCCCTCTCATCACCCCCATTGTCTGTGGATCCGTTTCATTGGGGGATTCTGTTGAGCTTATAGAAACGCCCAGTTTGTTTGCGGGAGCGAGCATCTCGTACCAAACTGAGCAGGATATTTCACAAAACCCGAGGTGAACGACGACATCATTAGGACAATGTCGTCCTCATCTTCGGCTGTTCAGGCCAAGGCCTTCCCCGATGGCACAACCGATTACGTGCCTCTGCGAGGCAAAAAGGCAGACGTCAACAAGGTTCACATCTCCGATACACCTATGACCTGGTCAAACTGGCATAAGCACGTCAACTGGCTAAACACCACATTTATTATTTTCGTTCCCTTGGCCGGCTTCATCTCTGCCTACTGGGTTCCCCTCCATCTTTACACCGCCATCTTTTCGGTTATCTACTACTTCAATACCGGTCTTGGTATTACAGCTGGTAAGTTTGGCGCTGCTAACCAAATCTGAAATTCACTCCAAGTTTGTACCAGAAAACTAACCGTCTAAAAAGGCTACCACCGTCTCTGGGCTCACACCTCATATAGAGCCAGCACCCCTCTCAAAATTTATCTCGCCGCCGTCGGTGCTGGTGCTGTCGAAGGCTCTATCCGTTGGTGGTCCCGCGACCACCGCGCTCACCATCGTTACACCGACACTGAGAAGGATCCCTACTCCGTTCGCAAAGGTCTTCTCTACTCGCACTTGGGATGGATGGTCTTCAAACAGAACCCCAAGCGTGCTGGTCGAACAGATATCACCGATCTCAACGAGGACCTCGTTGTCGTCTGGCAGCACCGGAACTACCTGAAGTGCGTCATCTTCATGGGCCTCGTTTTCCCTACCTGCTTCTGCGGTCTTATGTTCAATGACTGGCTTGGCGGGTTTGTGTACGCTGGCATTCTGCGTATTTGCTTCGTCCAGCAAGCTACTTTCTGTGTCAACTCCCTGGCTCACTGGCTCGGTGACCAACCCTTCGATGACCGCAACTCTCCTCGTGACCATGTCATCACAGCGCTTGTCACCCTTGGTGAGGGCTACCACAATTTCCACCACGAGTTCCCATCCGACTACCGAAACGCCATTGAGTGGTGGCAGTATGATCCTACCAAGTGGGCTATCTACGCCTGGAAGATGCTTGGTCTTGCCTATGACCTCAAACAGTTCCGTGCCAACGAAATCGAAAAAGGCCGTGTGCAGCAGTTGCAGAAGAAGCTCGACCAGAAGCGCGCCACCCTCGACTGGGGTACGCCTCTCGAGCAGCTGCCCGTTATTAGCTGGGATGACTTTGTCGCCGAGTCCAAGAACGGCAAGGCTCTTGTTGCTATTGCCGGTGTCATACATGACGTGACCGACTTTATCAAGGATCATCCTGGTGGCAAAGCCCTCATCTCATCCGCTATCGGCAAGGACGCCACTTCTATCTTTAACGGTGGTGTCTACACCCATTCCAACGCTGCCCATAATCTCTTGTCTACCATGCGTGTTGGTGTTCTCCGTGGTGGATGCGAGGTTGAGATCTGGAAACGTGCCCAGTTTGAAAACAAGGATGTCACTTATATGAATGACTCCGCTGGTCAGCGAATTCACCGTGCCGGGACCCAGGTCACTAAGGTTTCTCAGCCCGTCGCCAGCGCCGATGCCGCTTAAAGGGTTGAGCAAAGTAAAGTACAAAAAGAATAATGTTCGTCAACGACTTGAGTCTTGAATTTCTAGCGTGGTAATGGCGGGGGAAGAGACAAGGGAAACAATTATGCATCATGGTCGAACTATTAGCAAACGGAATCTGCAAATCATGAAACCGGCGTTATGGGCGAATTCGAATTATGTGTCAGTGTCGATTTGTGCCTGCTGAGTTATGATGCTCAATGGTGACCAACAGAGACTGAAAAAAAGAAGGCAATGCTGTCAAGGGGAGGCGGTTGTGTATAGATATCCTTCAGCAAAGGTGTATTGTGGTCCGCAGCCCTTGCACTACTGACCCCATTAAACATATTTTATTTTATTGCAAGAAATGGATTCCAATTGTTCCACCTGTGACATTGTCCATTGGTAACTCATTGAAAACAAGTACACGATTGCTCACGTCATGACAGTCAGAGCAAAGCACTTGGTACACTTGATGGGTTGCGCTCCCCATCTTTGGCTTCATAAAGGCATATTCGCATATTTCATTTGCCACGAATTGCGTCTCTGTGCTATGGCAACACCTGATGACTCCAATAACCGCGGTTCCTAGTCGTAAATTTGTTGATTCCCGTTCGAAAGATGCATCACCCCGTAAACATTGTCAAGGCGTCGCCATCCTTGCCTTGACCATGACCAGCTCTGAACTCTTCGCCCACACCCCGTCTGGCGTCTGTCTATAAAACAACAGCCGTCCGTCATCCCCTGTGCTACCGAAAATCTGTCCATCGTCATCAAAGCCCACCCTCCACACGGGCGTCCTATGACTGTCCAGTCTCGAAATTTCCCTGTGTGTATGGTGTACCTGGCCCGGCTGCCCGGACCACTGCCTATCGCCCGCATTCCCAGACTTGGCAAGACTAGCGCTCAGCGTCGACGGGTGGGGGTGTTTCTCGGCGGCCTCGTCCTTTGTCGGCGAGTCCCTGGCGGGCGATGTGTGGCCCCTGGACTTGAGCAAGTCGCCCGCGGACCACGACTTGCCGTCGTCGTCGGAGAAGGGCGTGTCGACGCGGAAGACGCGCGCGTAGCCGTCCTGGCAGGCCGTCGCGATCACGTCGTACCCCCGTATGTTGCCCGGCGCCCAGGCCACGTCCCGCACGAGGCCCCGGTGCCCGTGTATCTCGGCCGCGAGGTAGAACTCCTTCTGCGTCTGGGCGACCCCGTAAGAAGCCGTGACGATGTCGCGCGACCGGTAGACCTTGACGGTGTCCATGCCGGCGACCACGATGCCCAGGGAGTCTGCGCCCACGCCGGCCCGCAGCGCCGCGTAGCACGGCTCCGGGTTCGGGTCGAAGCGCACCTTGAAGGAGACCTCCTCGCCGCGATTAGGCTTGCTGCATATGCTGAACTCGTCGATGGACGTGTACTCGGACAGGTTCTCGGGCTGGTCGTTCTCGTAGACGGTGAGGCGGCCGTCGGTCGCCAGGAGCGCGAGGTACGTGTGCCGCGTCTCCTCGTTGTGCTTCATGCTGAAAGAGCGGTAGGGCGCGCGCGTCGAGCGCGTGTCAAAGGCTGGCCGCCCGCCGACGGAGCGGCCTGCGCAGAAGCGGCGGCCTGGCGCGGCTGAGGGGTCTTCGGCCCAGAGCCGGAACCAGCCTTCGATGCCGAGAGAGGCGACAAGGTTGGGATATATCGTTGCGGGGAGCCATTGAAGCTGCACGGTTGAGAAAGAGAAGGAGAGAGTTAGTAAGAAGAGCTGAGGGCTAGGAAAGAAAAACGTGATCGAGACGGAGGGCGCAGGGGACGGAACGTACTTCTAGAACTTCACCGCCGTGGGCCGTCCATGTGTCGCATAGCCGCCAGGTGCCGTCTTTATGTCTGTTGAAGACACGGATCTTGCCATCCACTGAGCCAGTGGCGCAGCGGTCGCCGTAGGTGTTGAAGGCGATTGCTTGGACGAGGTCCTTGTGTCCGTGTTGGAGGTTGAGGTCGAAGGCTTGCTTCTCTGAGATGGGGGACGGCGGCCCCGAGGCGGCCATTACGGCGGCCGAGAAGTGGTAACTAGCAATTGGAGAAAGCTGTTATTTTTGAGACTAATTATAGAGGGCCTTAGAGTGTGCAATGGGTTGCGGATGGCGTTGGACGTGGTGGGAGTCGAGATATCGTGGTGTGGTTAAAAGCTTGGATGGAGGTCGGCGGGATGATTTGAGGCTCGATTGCGCGGGGAGCTACCAGATCCACCAACTCGCTCCTTCCTTGGTACATGCTCGGCCCCACCTGGCTTGAGCTAGCTCGTGTAAGTGACGATTCTGGGGACTTGAACACATAGCTGCTCTTAGTTCATATACCAAGTCGTTTTCATCGCGCGTCAAGGAAGGCTACGGTTTTGGTGATGGTCAAAGCTCTTGCAAGGTGAAACCGCGTACATAGCGTTGCGATGTGTTATAATTATTGAGCTACAGCAATCTTATATTCCAGCTTGGCATGTCAACCCGACCCAAAGTCCCAAACAGAATTTCAGAATAGAGCTAGAACCCAAGTAACACGTAATTTGGAACAGAATTGACATCACAGAAACGCCGCCCAGACGCAACTGTCCAAATTCAAGTCAGCAGCCATCAGAACCACATACCCGGCGGACAGCCGGACCACTGCACCGTCTCACTCCCTGACTCTGTCACCAACTTTCTTACTTCACTTGATCTAATCCCGTTGATATCAAACATATGTCGCAGCGCTGGCCCGTCCCACAAGTTTTCTCGTCTCGGCCACTCCATGGCTAGACTCAGAATCTTCTTCCTTAACCCTTCTTCCCGGCAGCTGTTCCCTGTAACATATAGAGTCGGCACGACTGCAAGATCGACATTTGCGTTGTCTCCCGTGAGTTTTTCTGTTGCCGAGCCAGTCAGGATGTCTCGTAGACTAATAGCTGCGCGAATGAAATCTTCGAATTGTGCCATCTCTTCGAGCTCAAGCGACCCGTCAGGCTTTTCGGGTAACGGAAGCATTTTTAATATAAGAGTGGCTCCTTTGTGACGGAGTCTGCAGGCATTGAAGAAGATGACGTCTTGTATTTCAAGAGTCTTCATATCGGGATTGTTCTGATAAAGAGATATATTATTTCCGATCAAACGAGAGCGCTCCATTAAAACAGAGTGTTGAAGCTTGGGGTAATGTTGCGCCCAGAAATGTGTATCGCCGTGGTGGCCTCTTGTCAACCAGGTAAATGCGCTGGCGTCTTGGCAATAGCTGTCCACAGCTTCGTAGATATCCTCCACCGAGCTAAGTTTCGTGCCGACTGATGCATCAAGTTTTCGAGCTTCATATGTTTGTAACGTCAGCCGCGGCCGGAAGTCACCTGTTACTAATCTCATCGCCACCTCCCACCTTGATAATAGTCGGAGCATATATAAAACCCTCACATGAGAGTTATTCGACCCTTGATCCCATTTTTCAGGGTTCTGCAAAACGTCAGACACTTCTTCTGGTAGGTTCGCCATGAGTTGGAGGCCATTAGATAAGTGGGTTAGGGCTGCCTTCCAATCATTCCGAAGCATTTCTATGCAGAAGAATGCAATGCAGCTGATGAGAGTAATTCCGTATCTTCTGCGAACGTCGACCTGTTGTGTATCCCGGGCCAACCCTCTCATGGCTAAGCTATATTGCTGGATAATGAAGCGTTCAGTTTTGCTTGGCGGGGCGGTGGGATCAACTCGTTCTCCAGTCGTTTGGAAATTGTGGTACGCTGCCCCAAATGCAATAAAGGCGTGCTTCATAGATTCTACCGCGTAACAATACTGCGGGACCGATTCTTTCCAGAACAAAGAGTTGTACTTGTGGCGAATGCCAACTGCTTCTCCTGCAACGGCCCTAAAGCAATGGAAGTAGAAGCGCTCTATCTCAGTTCCCGATATGTCTGCGAGCAGCGGCCTTGGTATTGATAAAGCTGATGAGGTGGCAGGCACCATGGTGATTTGGCGCTGAGGCAGTGAGTTTTCCGTAGCCTCATTTTTGCGAGATCTGGGGTTTGCATTGATGTCGTAGCCGTCGCATTTCCGGCCTGTCGAGGTACATCGCACACAGGCTGGCTTTGCTTCATCGCATTTGACCCGGCGAATTCTACAAAATACGTTAGTATAACGGCGGTGCTGTTTCTTTCCAGTACAACTCACTTGCTGAGACGAGTTAGCCTTTAAGAACTAGTATGGGCCTCAGGAGAGAACACGTACCATGTAATACACCCAGTCTTGACTTTTGGTTTACCTGGCCTTATGCGCCGTTTGGCGACAGTACCTGCCACAGTATTTGTAGCAGATTTCATCGCGAACGTTGACGTTGTCAAAGGTGTCGTTCAGTCGAACTGTGCGCAGGTTGATCGTGTTCGTAGCAGGTTACCCGAGGCAATTCTTTGCCGATACCCCAATTGAGCACTGCTACAGCTCCATCCCTGAGGAACCTGTAGGCTTCAAAGAACGCCTCAGCGCTAATGCAAGGTATGTAGGCATCAAATTATGAGAAATGGCCGCATTAGAAACGCGTTGAGAATTGGCAAAGGTTGAGGTTTGGATCGATGGTACTAGCGGCGGGCGGCGTGAGCTGTGAGCCGCGGAAGAAAGTTTTCTAGGCTGGTCCACACCATTCTAAGATCCAGATTCGGAACGTTGCGAGAGGGCATCGCCAGCGACCCAGCTTGCCAGCCCTACCATGCAAAGTTAGCGTGTACGCCCGAAGCCAAATTGCGTCTGCAACAGGTTGACTACGCTGTTTGCAATGGGCAGTAATCTCATTTTTGTGACAACAAGAAGTAGCTGGGCGTAGGCTGAGACTAGGTAAATTGCTGGTTGGCACATGTAGTGAGGCAGCATGCCCGACGCGACGAGAGAGAGGATCAACCGATTCAGGTTTGAGAAATCTGTCGGCTAGACCTCGCTGGAAGATCTCGACACCTATTCGATTGCTGTTCCCCCCTTTCGTTGGGAAAGTGGAGGAGCGAAGCAGTCACCAACTGTCAGGTTCCTTCCCAC